TTTTTTCAAAGTAACTATCAGACCATAGCTTTCAATATCAAGTATGTAAATTATAGTGTAACAATATAAAAAGACGGCCCAATGCTCCTCCTAGGAGTTAAAGGATTAAATATAATACAAAACTAACTCAATTTTTTAAACAGATTTGTTTGGGTAAAGTAAAGAAAAAGTAAATAATACAAAATTAACAGAGCAACAGAAATAACAAATAAATAAATCATTTTTTGCAAGTACAAAATTTAACAGAAGTCATAAATATATATAATAGCTGAAGGATTATGTTTGTCTGAATGTGATTATTGGATTGCTAAAAAGTTTACTTCTTATTTTATTAATTATTTTATTCCAGCATATCGAAACATATTATTTTCGAAAAATCATATATATAGGAAAACTTGTATATGCTTATAAGATATTTGCTATGCACAATAAATTACAATAACATTAATTATGACGTGGAAATAAAATTTAAGTTACGGTTTATGTCTCACTATTTTCTACATATAAAATTACTAACTTTTGAAATCTAAATCAATAAAACCAAACTTAGAGAAATATCTATTGATTTTAAATACAAATTTATACTATTACAGGTTACTTGAAATTAGTAAACAGAGTACAGGTTACTCTGCCTTTTCTTTTAGTACAAAATATTTTACATTATAAAAGCCGGAAAATAATAAATTCTTCGAAGAGTTAGAACTCTTCAAACTTTTGCTAACATAATATTCATTACAATCTTAATTTTTAATATTAATTCTGTGCAGAGTTTACACGGCAGAATAGTTATTCCACAAATTAAATCTTACTGGAACAGTTTAGTATCCAAAACAAGAACTGTTGTGGAAACTAGGAACTTTGCTCAAACAATATTTTTTTGGCAAACGCAAAAAAACTGGCTAAAGGAGAAGTGCATCCAATTTACAATCTTCGTTATCTTTTACATCGAAGGATAACAGTAGAAGAACTTTTCAAAAGAAAAGATCCAATACAATGTACTAACTGTCAAGAATTTGGCCATGCTCGAACCTACTGCATCTTACCCAGTGTATGTGTAATATATGGAGATCTACACAAATCCTCCATATGCCCCAAACCTAACGAAGATGCAAATGCAAAAAAATGCATCAATTGCGGTAAAAATCATACAGCAAATTATAGGGGTTTTACTTTTTTTGTTGCAGTTAAGCAAAGAATCCTTCCCGAAAATCAATCAAGTACTGTGCCAACCAAAAATTACTTCTAAGAACAAATAACCAATCCAGAAGTAATAACACCTCAAGGCAAAAGTTAGGCAAATGTATTAAGAGAAAATGTTCAACCTCAACAATTGGCGAAACCGGCAGTAGGTAATTTAGAAGACACGCTAAATACACTGATCCAAAGTCTTGATCTTTTTCTGTGTAGTATGCAAACCATGATGCAAGAACTTATAAAAAATCAAAGTGCTGTAAAGCAAGCTCTGATAATGAAGAAATGAGCGACTCCATTGAAATGTGTCACTGGAATGCAAATGGTATAAACAAACATAAACTTGAAATTGAATATTTTTTAATCAGTAATGCAATTTATATCGTGCTTATGTCCGAAACAATTAAAAAAAACGCTTTCAAATGTCCAAATTACTACTTTTATGACACCAAGCATCCCAAAGATATGGCTCGCGGAGGTACTGATATTATAATAAAAAAATGACTTAAACACTTTGTTTTAGAAGACTTCAGTAAAGATTATCTACAATCAACAGCTAACCAATTCGATGAATATGGAAAAAATGTAGTAATAGTTGCAATATATTGTCCATTCAACCACAATATAGAAGTCCAAGACTTCAAAAATTTTTTTAAAACACTCTGTTCTAAATTTCTAGTCGTAGGCGATTTTAATGCCATGCACACATTTTGGGATTCAAGAATAATAACACTAAGGAGATGGAAACTTCTAGTACTTCTGAAAAGTGAAGATCTCGATGTTAATCAATTGGACAGACAACATATAGGCCTTCTGATGAACAAAAAGTCCCAGATCTTATTGACTTTAGCCTAACAAATATATTGAACCATCAACAATCACCGCATTTCCATCAGTTGAATTGTCATCAGATCACTCACCAACAATAATAACAGTACAAAGTCAACGAAATAGAACTATGCAAACGGAAAGTTGAAATTTCGTAAATACGTTTCTTGCCATATACCACAACATGCTTCATTAAAAGTGAATAATGAAATTGATGGTTGTGTTAAACAATTTTTTGAAGTAACCTCAATGGTGTGACAGAAACAATTGAGGCATTATTACAACGGAAAAGGAAAGTTAGAAGACTTTGGCAACGGCATAGATCTTCAAAACATGGACTTTTACTCTCTAAATGTACTAATGAACTCAAATATGCACTAGCGGAAAGACTATTTAATTTGGAAGGCAACAAAGTATCTCAAACAGCCTATACAGCATTAATCTCTTCTCAGACTAGAAAATGGTGACTGAGCACGAAGTGACTCTAAGAAAGGGGATATATTTGTTAAGCACTTGAAAAAAGTATTTAGTCCAAATGATGCTGCAAAAAACATTTTTTTACCAATTACAAACCTATACCCCTCTAGCAATCAACTTATCTTTAAACTAGAAAACATTACTAAAATTATAAAAGATTTCAATGCGAAAAAGGAAGCAGGACCTGATAAAATCTCAGTTGCAATTGTAAAACAGTTACCACAATGTGCCATTATACATCTCAGGCATTTATTTAACGCTATCCTACGGGCAGGTTATTATCCCAAACTTTGGAAAATGTCACAAATAACACCAGGAAGGTGAGCTAACACTCACCTTTTGTTAAAAAACTACTTAAGCAAAAGAACTTTTAGTTTAAGGTATAAAGATTTTGTTTCAGAACCTTGTTCTATCAATGCTGGAGTTCGCGAAGGAAGTGTAATAGGTTCGCTATTATACCTACTGTATACAAGCGATATGCCAACTTCGGAAAACACTTTAATTGCAACATTTGCTGACAACACAACAATACAAAAACCCCGCAATAGCACAACGCATGCTTCAAAATCATGTTCACCAACTCGAGAATTGGTTATCATATGGCGTATGAAAGTCAATGAACAAAAATGTACCCATGTAACATTTGCTCTAAGATCGGGCAACTGCCGCAATATTACAATAAATATTACAATAAATAAACAAAAAGTACTCTCGAGCGACTATGTAAAATACTTAGGGATGTATCTAGATAGATGTTTAATATGGAATAAACACATAGAGACTAAAAAGACACAAATAAATATAAAACTTAGTTTATTGCATTGGCTATGGGCACGTCATCAAAGCTACCACTTGAATACAAAATTCTGCTATACAACTCGATATTAAAACCTATATGGACTTAAGGAATTCAAATGTGAGAAACAGCGATCCTATCAAATATTGAAAAACTGCAATGGCTGCAATCTAAACCCCTAAGAATGATAACAGGTGCACCGTGGTTTATAAAAAATGCTAACCTTCATAGAGACTTGGGCGTACCAACAGTAATTAAAGAAGCTGCTCGATGTAGCCGTCAGTGCCTTTTAAAGTTAGAAGATCACCCTAAACCAATCAGCTTACAAGCTCCTTCTGAACAAAGACTACAAACGCTTAAAAGAGAAGGACAATTAACATGTGCTAACATTCTACATTTTTATTTGATTTAAAATATTGAAAATTTTATTTAATTAAATTAAATGTAATTTCTGATTTGATTTTAATTTAATTTTAGTTTTAATTTTAATTTTAATTTTAATTTTCAACCTTATTTTATTTTAAATAATTTATAATGTCTCAATAGTTTTCTCCCAAGCAATGACCTAGGAAAAAAAAAATAAATTTCGTTTTACAATTTAATTCATTTATTGTTAGTTTTTAAATGAAAGATTCAATAAATAATTTATGAATTGAAAAAAAAAATCTGCTTATAGATGTGTGGTGCAGAACCTAAGGAAACTAGACAATGTGAACGATTTATACTTCAAAACGGTAAATGATTTTAAAATAGAATAACGTAATTAATAACAATATTGTATATAATGAAAAGGTGTTTTTAAGTTGAGTTTTTGATCTTAAATTTTAAGTTATTATATTTATTTAATTTTTTAAATATTTTTAATTTAAAAGAAACAAAAATACTTTTTAGTTTCTCAACAAATGCAGATAAAAAAGGGCGGTTAAATTCGAAACAAAAAAATAAAATACATTATTTTATACAAAATAATGACAAAATAATGTATTCTAACATTAACGAAAAAGTATTTTTGTAAAAAATACTTGATGCTGATATTAGATATTTACAGATTCATCATGGAGCAGTCACTTAGCTCTTGGTGCAAACAACCACGCGATTAGCTAAATGGCTAAGTATTGGCCGTAGAAACTCACTTACTTTTCAACCAAAAGTACAAGACATTCAGTCAAGAATTAAGTGCTACTGAAAATTTAAGAGATTCATACGTGAGAAATCTGATATATTTCAGTCGAAAGAAATCATTTAAATTTTGGCTACTAACGCACAACATATGTATCATTTCTTATTGAATACAAATTTAACATCAAAACAGTTCTTTAAATTTTCGCTATTAAAAAACAAAACAATTTTATACAACCTTAAACAAAACAACCGCTTAAATTTTTAAATATAGCAAATAGCAGAGCATTTTTAAGCAATTAATAAGAAAATAGTCACTTAATTTTTGACCATTTCAAATAAAATATTTTTGAAGAGCGGGCATTTGTGTGACTCGCTCTCTTTTGTACAAACAACAGCTGTTTTGTAATGAATACGTAGATTTGACTAAGCAGAATTTGTCCACATTTTTAAAATCAATTTATTTTAAATCTTTGTTCGGTGAAATACCAAACGCCTTCAATAAAAACATGTTATTATGGCATAATTAGTTTGATATTATAAATTTAATTTTATATCACATTATTTAAAATAAAAAGAATGCACTCACTTGCACAGCACGTACTGCCTGCCGGTTGATAGCAGTAAGCTTATCCAAACACTTCTTTATATTATAAACTTTTACTAAAATTTAAATAAATAATAAATTGCCTTTATACAATAACAAACTGGTTTTATTTTAATATTAACAATATTAAATATTTTAATAATTATTAAAACAACATTCACAGTACACTTTAACAACAACCGTATTATATGTCGAACTAAGAAATTGGACAGCTTAACAGGGTTGCCAAGATATTTTATAAGTTACTTGCAGTTCGCACTTTCAAGTGATATGTATAAGTTGTTAACATATACTTTTGATTATATAATTTTTTTACTTTGAATATAAATAGAAAATTATAGTATATATTAAAACATCAATTTATGTCATACGTGTTACAAATTACATATAATGTGTTTCATAAATATTGCAGGTAACTTCAATAGGGCATATCGAAAATACTTAAAGTTGGCAGTCACGTTTCTCTCAGCAAAACAATTTATAAGAGCTACTGTCAAATGACCTAGCAGGCATGTAAACTGTAAAAAGAGAGAATTTTTGCAGTAATAAAGGGCAAATATACTCTTCCTAATTGAATGAAATTTTTGTTAAATTTCAAATATGATATGTAAATAATAAGTGAAAATCAAATAAACTATCAGTATATATAAATACTAATTTATATAATTGAATATAATTATTGGGAATATTGCCAAATATTCATCATTAGTGGTCTTTGGATTTATTGGATTAGTAGGGAGAATATTAGTCCGTATGTAGTTTTTAGATTGCTAGTGGCGGGACGTACAAACCCAACGTAAACTTAATTTGCGGTATTCAAATTCCTTGGTTTATGAATTTTTGTTATTTAAACAATAAATGCACTTGCAGTACCATAATTGCAACAATTAAACAAACAAAATATAAACTGTTTTTATTTTAAATTTTAAACACTATTCTTTTAGAAAACATACTTTACATTCTTGTATACAGCCATAGTCAAAAGTATTTACACTACGAAAATTGGCATTTATTCTGGGCTTTGGTTTAAGTAAGTGCAACCGTTACCTTTTGTCACAGACTACACAAATTTAGAGATTTCAAAATTTCAGAAATTATTTAGAAAAATGGTGAAAACCAAGGAATTATCAGTTGAAATTCCACCTGAGGTTGGTACCTGATATAAGAATGGTATTTCGGCGACGAACTTAGTAAAGCTATGCAAAATTTCATGTAAAACGGTGCAAAATCTAGTTAAAAATAAGAACATACGCGGAAATTTGAAATATTTGAAGAGAAGTGGGGGCAAACCTCCCATGAATCAAAGGGAAGGCAGAAGTCTTGTCAAAATTGCAGCTTCATCGAAGGAGTTGATTGACAAGAATATTAGTGATGCCACACTGCTTTGCAGATTGAAAGATAATATCAATGCCCATGTGGTGCAAAAAAAAATAAAAAACCAAATATAATATTGAAATTTTATAAAATCAATTATATTGTATCTTTCAATTAAAAAAATAAAAGATAACAAAATTAAAGCTAATCTTACTTCATAAGAAATAGTTTGAGCAACAGCTCGTAAACCTCCTAATAAAGAATAATTTGAATTTCTTGATCATCCTGCAATTATAACAGTATACAAAATTGTCAATATTACTCCAACGACCCTGTCAAATCGTCTCTCATTTTCTTTGAAGTATTTTAAGAAACCTATATAGTTTTGGTACAATGTGTTATAGACAGATGGGTCTGCATTAGAGTACTGCACGCGCGCATTTGATTTCAGTTTCAAAGCATTCTATTGTGTTTAGAATGGTAGCATACTCTCACTCTCAACGAATAAATACGAATGTATAGGCATAAAAACAAAATGGAATAGAATAAATATTTGTTTCGTTTGTTTAGAGTACTCTAACTCTAAACATTCTAAAAGTAGTTGAAGTAGTTGGGAGTACTCTAAGCATTTGATTTTCAGTTCATACAAAAATTATGTGCTTTTAAATAGTAAGACCCAAATTTATTTATTTGTTTTTTTATTAATTAAATATTATTTAAAATGTTGATAATAGTAATTTGTTGATTACATATATAATATGACTTAATATATTAATTAAATATAAAAAAAATTTTGAACAAAAATTTATTTAAAAAAATTATAATAAGTTTTTTTACAGTTTTTACAGTTCACAAATTTAATTTAATATTCAAATTAAATGTTGAGTATCGTCTGACTTAATTCCTCTTTTTCAAGATTGTTGTGTAAAACATGATTTGATTGATAGATCTTTGATTAGATGAAATCAATGTTCTTTTTTCTGATATTAAGTTCCGAGCAACTGAAAAAACCCTTTCCGAAGATGCACTACTTGTTGGTGTTGCAAATAATTTACAAGAAACTTTGTAAAGTAGAAATTCTGAAGGAATTCTTAAGAAATTTCTAAAAATCTCTCTTGTCATAAATAAATATTTTTACCATATCATGCATAAAATTATTTTCCAGGAAAAGGTAAATATGTGAAGCAATTTATTTTGTTACATCATAAAAAACTATCGACAAAGAAGGAAATTCTGCGCAAACCGTTTTTTTAAGTTAACCTTTTGCATTAGATCTACCTGTTTAAACAACTTTTGCATTGAAAATAATAGAAAATTAAACCTAATTTACGTGCTTTGTTATTGCAATTATTGCAAATCTCTACGCACATCCAACTTTCTTTACTTTTGCGCAGGTAACCAAACGCACACAAAATATATAAAATATTTCTTTGCAAAAATAGAATTATTTGAAATACTCTAAAAGTGATTGAAATACTCTAAAAGTGATTGAAATACTCTAAAATATTTGTTTATTTGATTTTAAAATTGAAAACAAACGATTATAGAGAACAAATCAACCCCCATTCCATTGAAACGAATGCGGCGGAAACGAATTCTATCGGACCGTTTCTGTTATTCGTTCGTATTCGCTTTAGAAATAATTTGTAAATATGGTACACATTTGAAAATAAAACGAATGACCGCAAAAACGAATGTTTTGATGCAGCACTTTAGTCTGCATTTCAATTCTAGGAGCACTTCATAAATTTACGATAACGGTAAAGGAATAAAGCAGTGCAGCTACTTAATAGCTTTGAAGGTGGTACGGTGGTGTTTTGGGGATATCTGTCATGCTATAGATTAGAAGATTTGGAAATAGACCCTTTCCAACCAATAACTAGATTCTATAACATAACAATGCACCATGTTATAATGGATGTAGACCTAACCTATTTTTAAAAGAGTTAAGTAATGCTGTTCATTTATGGCCTTCTCACAGCCCTGACCTTGATGTCATTGAAAATGTTTGGGATTTCATAAAACAGCAAAGAACTATGGATAAAAAATCAAAATATAGTGATACCATAATTGAAATAGGGGATATTCGGTTTAAAATGATTTGCAACGTGATTGAATCAATTCCAGCTAGGTTTAAATTTTTATAAAATTCATTTATTAAGAATAATGAATGTTTTGTGTAAATACATTTGACGCAAAAAAAATATGTGTAAATATTTTTGACAACTAATAAGTATCAGCACAGTTGCTTATATTTTTGTTAAATGAACAGTTATCTTTTCAATCCTTTTTTTATTTGGTTCTGTAAAGATAAGACTAGGTGACAATTAAAAAATTTTTTGAAACTTTCTCTAACAACAACAACAACAAAAATCTGTTTTAGTGCAATATGCACAAAAATTTTCGTTGTGGAAATGGAAATACTTTTGACTATGGCTGTACTTTAGATCACTTGCATTTTGCAAGTCTATTTAAGGAGTTTTTTTCGATTCCATTTATTATCGCAGAGATAAAATATAGCCAGTCGATTCCAGATTGAAACGACAGTTCTTTTTTGCAAGGGAATGTTACATATAAGCGCATTTTATTATATAATATGTCAAAAGCGGCACAAGAGCCAGACAAGCACAATGTTTTATCCTCATTAAATTTAAAACGAGAGATCGGAACTGAACTGCAGAGATTATGTACAGTAAAATAATATCTTCGAAATTTCTTCGGTACCTTATACATCGTGTTAATAGAACTAGTTAGTTCAACTAAGAACAACTAGTTAGCATATTTAAAAATTTGTATTTTATTCTGAATCTATTACAAGCTCTATTTGGTATATTTGCGTTGATAGCTTTTGTAAGTTTTTTCACTATAATCATTTCTTGAATTTTTGTATCTAAAGCATGATATAGGCCAGGGTTGTCCACACCAGATGCGATCGCGGTCGAATACAAATTACTATACAGATTAGTTGTTATTATAAATACATTATAACACTGCAAAATAGTAATCGAAACTGAAGGAATTGAGATGATGATAATAGCAACATGTTATTTATTTCATTATTTCATTATACAAAGATTTCATATTTCTTAGAATTAAACATAATTTCTTATTTTAATTCTTAAAACTAATATTATTTTTAATTTAATTCTCTAAAATATTGCATTTTAATATTTTTATTCACAAAATAATTTTTAAAATATAAAAACTTACTTAAAAAATGTTTTTAGCATAAAGTAATTTTAAAAATATATAAACTATTATAAACATATATAATATATAATATACAAACAATTTATATATTGTTTGTAGCACTTTTTTTCAAATTTGCCTTTTTTAAAGAAAATAAATGTATACAACTTTTTCAATTATTTTACAATTTCTTTCCGCGATCTTTGACGGTCCGACGCTCACCAAAATTCTTAATTAAGAGAAGTCTCCAGATTTCGATATACACAAGCAGACATGTGTGGAGACTTAAAAAATAATTAAAAAGTGTTAATTTTATCGCATACATGTCTTAAATCGAAATTTGGTATGCAAACTTGAATATAGACGGTGCGATTTGGTAGCACGCATACCTTGTCTGCAAACATGTAGCATCGTCTATATCCTGCTTCATGCTAACTGTTAACTCGTCTCATTCTTACCTTGCCTGAATAGTTTTGCTAACATTTTCCTTTCTTCCACTGTATCATATAGCTCGTTGACGTTTAACGTTATGGAAATTTAAGAGTGATCTGATTAAATTTTTTCCTTCCTTCTTTAACTTTACCTAAATATATTGTATATAGTATGTTGTTTGGGGATACACTACACCCGCCAGTGACCAATTTGTAACAATGGACACAGGGTTCTCTTAGAACACCATGAAGGATTTGCTGTTACTTGCATTTGTGGTAAGCCCTTGATTATATCGTTCTATTTATAAGACCTGCTGTATGACACTTAACCGAGTCCCACTAAAGACTAAAGCCACCAAATATCCATCCTTACATATGTTTCTATATAAACGAAAGAAACTACTTACATTTATAAAATTTTTATATAATAATTCTCTTGGTTTTTTATTATTGCTACTATTGCGTGAATACTTTCCAGAGTCAACTTCTAACAACATCACAGAGATGTCCAGAAATTGCTTGTTGGAGAAGTACGAATAGGTAGATGTGTTTTCAAATAGTTTCCATAATAATAATTTATAGTACATTAGACTTAAGTTTTACATGTTATACATGGTAAATGTATTTGTTCTGCATATTTTTAAGGTCACTTTCACGCTATCTTTTACTTCACATTTCTGTAATGTTTAGAAATTCAGATTTTGTTATCATCTGATCTGTTATCAGATTTTTCTTACATTCTGTTCTTTTTTCAGTTCTAATTTTTGTGGTCGTAAATATAGATATCTTAGATAAAATTGTCAGAGGGAGTTATTAAAGTGTTGTTGCTATTATCGAATTTTAATGAGAATTTATGATAATTGATCTGAATTTATGAAATGATGTGAACAAAATTTATGTGAGAAACTCTTTTTTCGAAGTGATTAATATCATTAAGTCTAGTATAGGTGCTATTTCAAAGTCATTCTGAAGCGTTGTCCATCTATATTGAGAACTGAACCTGTTCTTAACATTTTACACAATATTTAAAAAGTTTTATGTTTTGCACTTTTTATTTACTTATTTTTAATTTCTGTAATGTTAACATGAAGCATTATTTAACAACTAAAAAAATATATATAGCATCAAGTTATGCTGGCTTTAGGTCATTACCATCACACTCATCACCACCACACTCATCACTATTATTGGTACTTTCTTCGTCGGTGAACTGTTCGACGTCCTCAAAATAGTCACCAGTGAAAAACAAAACTGCCCTTGGTATGAGCTCGTCCCGAATAAACTGTCCTAATTCAAAGTCTTTAAACATAACTAATTGAGCATCTTCATCCATTTCTTCCTCAGCAATTTGAGGTGGATTGAAAAAGTGAAAGAAACTAGCAGTAGGCACGACTATGGGTCCTGTCTCACATGCAATGTTTTCAATTCTACTTAATGTTAAATTTTTACCCTCCTTCCAGTCAATTTTGCAGCCAACTGATTTAGTGACATCTGGTCCATCATAACTGAAGGGAAAGTCTTTATCAACGGTCTTCTTCAGAAAGTACTGTTTAGTTAAAACACTGTTATGAATGTACTCATTTTCATCAAAGTGAAATCCGATTGTGTATGACAAATCGCTATAATCAATTGTAATGTCATTAAGCTTTGAGAGTAGAGGCTCATCAACAACATATATAAAGTCCGAAAGGCGGTCCGATGTCTTGAAAATAGTTAGCCAGAAGTTTGGCAAACCTTTCGTCTTCTCATTGGCGTTTTTGTACATCTTTAGAATATTACAGTAATCGTTCATCAATGGAGTTTCAGGATAATTTTTCTCAGAATCTTTCCATTTTGGTAGTTCAGGCTTTGGTTCAAGCGCGCCAGATACGATTTCCTTGCGTTTATTGTACAAAGGAATTAATTTCTCATGATACTTTCTTTCGACATTAAAAATATCTTCGTAAAGTTGGCGTTCAAAATCAAGATGTTCAATTTGCATATTCTTCAGTACAGTCAAGCGATTTTGCAAAGATGTTGGCAAGGATTTAACCATGCCATGCAAGAAATTCCTACGCTCGCTAGCACTAAAGTAATCTAATGTGACATCTTCACCACCTTCTGCTTTTTTATCAACGCATTTGTCTTCGGATTTCTTACTAGATGCTCCTTCCATACTTATTTTACGATCGTCCGATTTGCTATTCAAAGTTTTTTTCAGAGTAATTTGACTAAGAAAAAAATTCTGTTTTTTTTGAATATATATTTATTACATTATTTTGTAATGTCATTTGATTTATAAAATACAATTTAAATGATGAAAAAGATTATTTAAAAAAACAGGTGAAACTCTTAAAAAAAATCTTTAACCTGATTCAGTGAAGCAACAAATCAAGTTAATTTAATATTCAATCTATTTTCAGATAATTTCCATGTATGACCTCCTCTGTGAGTTATTAATTATACTATATTGAGCAACTCCATTATCAAGTTCGAAAACGTATGAAGTTCTCTAAAATATGCCATTCTTATTGTTGATTGCGTTATTCGCAAACATCTCTATTTAAAATGATACGGATAAACTTGTGTATCAAAATAAAAGATAAACCTATAATTGCAAAACCAATCTGAATCTCACAAATCTCTCAGCAGCCCGAAGAAAAGCAGTGATGAACGAAACTATAAACAGCACTTAGCCAGCGCAGCGCTTGGCCAACATATCACAAGCAAACGATCAACCTGCTGGAACTGTTGCCAGCGTCCAGCGAAAATCGCGACCTTATATGGCATTGCGTGAATAATTTTGTTAATATTATGTATCTGAGTTTAGAAATCACGCCACCGCAGGCAAATTTAAGCATTCTTAAGTACATATTTTCCCTTGTTTTAGATAAACATCCCAGAAGACAATATATGTACAATGTACCTGTATGACATAGAATGGTAGGCTGTTAAATACATACGCCATACACTACATACTGCAGCGATTTATGAGTCTAATGTAATGGTAGCACGTTTGCACTCGAGGTAGAACGTTCGCATTTATAAACACATCTTATAATAAATACATAATACAATACTAAACTACGATTTTTTGCCAGTTGCCATTGTTGATTTAATAATAGGGCACGCGAGCACTTAGATTGGACAAAAATTAATAGAGATAAACCGAGACTTCCATATAATTATAAATAGAAAAGCCACAGAGGTGTATCCTTTATAAGAAACCCTGTTCAAAATTAGTTCAGTTCTTTCAAGCACAGCCGAAGTGCTGCATTTCAGTTTCGAATAGTCTCTCAATTGATACTCTGTTTTGATAACCCACGTTCATAGGGGCAGTTCAAGTACTTTGATTTATAGAAATGTGAAATTGACGTGATAAAAATATTGCTAAGCTATCAGAAGAACCTTGGCATGAAATGAGATGAGCCAGTGGTATACATATATGATAACCCTGGAGCAAATACTTAAATCATGAAATGGCATTTTACTTGAATGCATTTGAGCTACAGAATGTCTGAGAAGTTATATATTTTTATTAAGATGAGTTTAGTTGTAAACACCGTAGGTGTGGATCACTTCATAAAATGAAAATTTTTAATACTGATTTTAGGATTTCAAGTACTACTTACAGCAAACGTTTGATGTTTTATATATAACATATAAACTTGTAATCTATAAGCTATTATCAGATAGCACTGCTTTAATCGTATCATAAGTTACACGCTGAAGATAATTAGGGAAATGTATTTCTAAAGACTATGGAGTTTGAGCACACTTTTATTTCTCTACATTACTATTCCATATATTCTGACAATTTTAGATAATGACCTATATATGATCTATAATGACCTATACACAAATTTTATGTCACATGATTCTGTGTTAAAATGAATCTTTTATTAAGACTAAACTAAAAATATAATAAAATGAATAAGCACAAAATGCATTGGCAAGCAATTGGTTTGGCACAACTTAGTGCTACCCATGTATTTCTTGGGGTACCGGGTTATGTTCCCATAGAAATCGTTAAGAGAAGTACATACTTCTACTGTCTTCAGCTTGCCAACAATAAATGAAAGACACTAAGGTCATGTGTTAATTCGTGGTTAACGTAACCGTCATTTAACAAGACCACATTATAAGAACTCAATAAAAGGGACCGCGTGAATACTGTAAGGTTTACTGCTTTGCTCTCTGGTTACTGATGTATTGGAATCCACGTCGAGATATTGCGCATTCCTTTAATATGTCATTAAAGAAGTTGTGTGAATTCATTGAAAAAAAAAGCAAATATTTTTTCTCTGAATGACTGACTCTGGACTCTAGAAGAAATTTGTTTATAGGGGGTAGATTTTTGACAGTTTGTAATATTTTTATATATAAAAATGATTAATATACTATTTACAATATTCTTAGTTTTTTACTAGCTATTTCTTAAAAGTTCTTTACGTAACACGTCAATACTAGGATATCTACGAAATATTGTGTAGAAAAACAAGTATTTGAACATTGAGTAAAACCATTGAAGAACTTTATGATAGAAGTTCGGTTATGAGCATATAAATAAAATAATTACTAAAGTTGATAGAAACATACGCACTATATAGATTTCACTGACACTATATGATTTTTTAGATTGAAAAGACAAGCATGCAGTAAGCATGCATCGTCTTTAGTTATCCAATAATCAGTAGAAAATCGAAAACCTGTGTATCGATCTCAACAGAAAATTATATCTAACACATAAACCACATTTATGGACTATATATATTCTCGCCTGTATGTTTCATTCATCTATATGTCTTGTGAATATTTGTTTTTATATTTCATCATTTTTCAAATTGAATGTGTCACTAGATTTTCAGATTAATCAAGTTAACAGTTAATTATTGCACAGCGTTTATTAAAATATATATAGGTATAAACATATAAAAGACTATTCCTGCATTTTTAAAATTACCCCCGTGTCAGTAATCCGGACTGATCTCAATTTTAATTACTTCGGATTAGCGGAGTTTTACTCCGTAATTCGAAATTTCTATCTAAAATTTGTCTAGAAGAAAACATACTTTATTCTACAGTAAAAGTATTAGACAGGAGCTTTATGTGGTTCATCACTTTAAAGCTTCGCATCCCAATCCAAATTTGGGTATTCCAAATGTTTAACTGTGTATGTCTTTTACTTTGGTTAATTCTGCAATATCTCTATTGAATAATTTTCAGATTATTGTATTACCAGGTCTGTATCTGAATCCTTATTCTTATTCTTCTTTGCTTGTAATTATCTTGATCGAACTTTTGGTTCACTCATATGCATAAATTCATTGCATGATCTTTATGAAGTGAATATTGCAGGGTTCGTTTTAGTTTGTACTGCAATAGTAATGAGGAATACGAATGTTAAAGAAAAGTAAGCGTTGCTTTAGATAAATTTCTTTCTTTATTTCTTAGTTTGATCGAAAGAGATATTGAAAAACACCGCTTAGCAATGTCAATCAATTGTCTTACTTCGCATTCAATGTTATGTGCAATGGATATTCTGTTTCTTTCAGCAAAAATTATTGAACCCTTCTTCCATTTTATTCATTCTCTCTACTGGATTCATGGAACAATAATAAATTGCTTTCAGTGCCGCTAAAGCGGTAAGAACCGGTATGACTTTATTTGCACCCAAACACATACCTAAAACTCGGTTTCCTGTGCACTAAAACATTCCAATTAATAATTTCAAACAAAAATAAAATAAATTTATAATATATTATTTGTGTTTTCATAACATTCATTTTTATTTATAATAAATTAATATTTCTTCTTACCCGGCGAGTTGTGCAGAGCCGCTGCATTGCAATCAGCCATCTTTTGAAATCGCATCAAAAAAAAGGTTTATTGCTACGCCCCACAAAACGCATCAAAACCCTAAAGTAATCATAACAACAACATGAAGGAGAAAAGTCAGATATATACCTATTGAATAAAAAACAAAGTCATGTTTGACCGAACAATAACAACAAAATAAATGTGCACTTCATGTTGATCGCGTTCATAAATCTGCCATTTCAGGCAGTTTAAAGGCTTTAAAATTCTTCGCTCTTAGCTTGGCGGCTAATGCCAATTCCGTTGTTGTTGTTTTGCTTTTCTGGTATAAGTTATGTTGTCGTTTTAAAGGTGGAACTCATCATCGTCATTCTTGCAAGACGTATCTACAGGTTTGTATGTGTATTTCTTGTACGTACCCGTTGGCCTCGTATGCACGCATTTATTTTACATTCAAACACCCTGCCTGGCAGTCAGTTTGATGCTTTCGTACCTGTTCTTGCCACACTCGCGTTGGTTACTATAGAACACAGCCACTGCAGCTGCAGTCCGCAGTCCACAGTCCGCGCTGCCAGCCAGGCATATAACTTAACATCATTCTTCCCTGTGCTTATTTAAAATCGAAAGACATTCGTCATCGGAAACCACTTTTTTCGGCACTCAGGTGAAGTTGAAGATGAAATTACACAATCCAGTAACCGGTGAGCAATGGCGCGATGCAGTCCATGTGTGTGTGCCACTTCACCTATTTTTAGTTCCTTGTTCTTGTATGGCAGTAGCATGCCACACACTTGATCGAAAGCAGGCGTGGCGTATTCATGCAGATATTGTATCACAGACGTAGTTTATATGCTGATATACGAGTAAACTTAATAAAAGGTTGTTGTGGAGATCTTATCTACAAGTTAATTTGCACTAAGCAGAATCTTAATAAATTTTTGATAAGAATTGATTTACTCCGCTGTGATTCATAGAACCTGCGGTCGCTAGAACCGAATGCAATAAAAATATTCGATGTGATTGAATTATAGAACAAAGTATAGCACAAATCACAAAGAAATCTTTAGCAACTTGATTTTGAGCGTTGTTTCGCTTCAGCAGAAATGGATTGAAATAAAAACTTAAAAGCTATTAGTTTCGATAGGAAAAAAAACTGAGTTGATGAATCTTTTAAAAAATCTTTATGCAAATATAAATTGAAGTCGAAATGAATTCTGAGTTTTAATAATACAACAGTTCCTATGTAATCATAAAACCATTAGCGATAAATATGCAAAACACCAAATTGATCATTTGGAGCAAAGAACCTGACAACAATTCTTCAATGCCTAGAACCTAAGGAAGATGCAAATGTAAAAAATTTTACAATTGCGGTAAAAATCATACAGAAAATTATAAGGGTTTT